GGGGATAAGAAGAGGGAGGGGGGAATAAGAAGAAGTGGGAGGGGGGATAAAAAGGGGGAATAAGAAGAGAGGAGGGGAATAAGAAGAGGGGAGGATAAGGGGAATAAAAAGAGGGGATAGGGGGAATAAGAAGAGGGGAGGGAGGGGAATAAGAAGAGGGGAGATAAGAAAAAGAGGGGGTAAGAAGAAGAAGGGGTGAGTAAGAAAAAGATGGGGGAGTAAGAAGAAGAAGAGGAGGGAGTAAGAAAAAGAGGGGGGAGTAAGAAGAAGAAGAGGGGGGAGTAAGAAGCTGTGTGCTCTCTGCTGTCTGCTCCCTCTCGCCGCGCGCTGATGCCGGGAGCCGGAATATGACGTCATATTCCGGCTCCCAGCTCCAGCAGACAGCCCGCGCGGCGAGAGGGAGCAGACAGCAGAGAGCAGAGAGCTCCCTCGCCGCGGCTGAACTGGAGAAAGGCGCCCGCCCCCACTGGACCCCAGGGACAAGTCCACCAGCACTCCAGGTAGGAGGCTGGGTGGACATTTAAAAAAAAAATATATATATAATAATGTGTGTGTGTGAGTATGTGTGTGTGAGTGTGTGTCTGTGAGTCTGTGAGTATGTATGTGTGTGTGTCAGTGTGTGTGTGAGTGTGTGCCTGTGAGTGTATGTGTGTGTCTGTCAGTGTGTGTGTGTGTACATATATATACACACATACACACGCAGAGCCGGCGCTATCTGAGTGCCGGCTCTGCTCTAAGCCTTCATGGGCCGGCGGGGAGACCAAAGATCTACCTCACCGGCCCACAGTAGCTTGGAGGGAGGCAGTAGAGGACCCAGGGAGCTCTAGACAGAAGCTCCGCCAGGTTCCTCTCGCGATATCTGAGCGTTGCTGTGGCAACGCTCAGATCTCGCAAGAGTTAACTCTAGCCCCGCAGGCTAGAGTTCACTCTCCACTGGACCACCAGGGATGGCACATGGCAGCAAGGATTTACTAATCTGCCAAATCCCTCCAAACATACAGTACACACACATACAGCACCTACACACATACAGCTCACACACACACACAGTACACTAACCGCACCCTCACAAACACACACAGCACCTTTAAAAAAAACACAACACCC